AGTTGCCAGGAGATGACTAGTGAAGACGGAGAATCATAATGCGTGTGCAACGGTGAACTAAAAGTCTGTAGAATAGCGATAGCATTATAATTGAATGTGATTAAGAGAACTTGTAACGGAAGTGCCAATGAATCCAATCATTCGAGACAGAACCCGTTAATTTCGTCACGCGTATCCCCTTACACGTGACAGTACTCAGGTCTGAACAATGTATTCTCAACCACTCATTTACTTTATATTTAAAATTATCAAATACTGACGTCCATATCTAGCATATCTGGTCCAAATATTTGTGTAGTATTGTTAATGACATGGAAAGTACAGGTAAAGCTAAGCTTGTGTACCCAAGGTAACTTCCGCTACTTCGTCTCCCACTAGATTTATGGGTACACACCAGCCACTGAAGACGATATTAGTGTAAGTTATCAAACATACTGATCACATAAACAAAACTAGTGTTTTTATATGTGTGTCTATGACACGCGGTACGAAACATACTATCTAGTGTTTCGAACCTACACCCTGAACACTTACATGACCTTTCAGCACACTAACCTGAAGTGTTCGTGCTCGATTTCATAGCCAGATAATTATTTTTAATATGGCAGCTAGGGATATAACTTATCAATCAATAATATGGTCACCATAATATGTATTTCACTTCGAGATAACAGTATATTTTTGTATCGTTAAAATAAAACTATTTTTTTTAACAGGGAGCCGGGATAGCGTAGTCCGTATAGCGACTAGCTACGGGCTGAACGACGAAAAGGTCGAAATTCGAGTCCAGGTAGGGTCAAGAATTTTCTCTTCTCCACGTCGTCCAGACCGGCTCTGGGGGTCCTCGTAACCTCCTATCCGATGGGTACCTGGGGCCCTTTCCCCGGGGGAAAGTGGCCAGGGCGTGAAGCTGACCACTCACCTCAAAATAGTGCCGAAGTCAAGANCGCAACCTCCTACCCGATGGGTACCGGGGGCTCTTTCCCGGGAGGAAAGTGGCCGGGGCGTGAAGCTGATCACTCACCTCAAAATAGTGCCGAAGTCAAGAAAATGTGGATCTATACACCCACTCCCCATACGCCTTCATGGTGTAGTGTTTAATTAGTTAAGGACATGGACGACATTACAGCTTTTACCTTACGTTTTGATAAACGAACTAGAGTGGTGATGTTTTTGTGAAGCAGCCTGCAATACTGAGAAACCGGCGGTTGGTGGATCACGTGACCACACAATTCAGTAGTTCTCCTGTCAAACAGCATTTGAGATTCAGTTTATATTGTTGTTGGCATAACGGTTTCATTACGAGAAGTACGTATTTTGTTTATCGAAACAAGTGAGAAACTCTCAGGTACGTTTTCTTATTAAACGAAGAAAAATACCATTCATATGTACAGAATGTTACACACAGTTTAGAGAAAATAAGTAATTCCTATAGGACAGGATTTTTGTGGGGGGAGGGAGCTAAAATATTTGAAAATGAGAGAAGGAAGGCTGCAAAAGACCTACATCATTTCTGATAATAGGACCTATAGGTTTCCCTTTTGGAAAGCGACTGATAAATAAACTTTCGCTAAGTTCGTAATTTTTATAAAAACTTTCATAAAAGTTTTTGGACTTATGTGTATGGCCTGCCTCCATATATGACTTCACATGTCTAGCTGCAATGATCCAGGAGTAATTGCTATCACACAGTGTAGCTCTAAATGTGAGATTCGAGCGAAAGCCGTGTTGTTGTTTTACACTACACAAAAATATCTAGGCAACAGTTGCGTATTTTTCGCAGGTTCATTGCCACACAAAATTTTGGAAATGTACATAGTGTCACTTCCGTCTTAGATCTTCTAAACGGCCACCATTTTGATATTATGGACAGCAGAATGAAGAAACACAAAGTTCGGATGACTTATATAATCGTGATCATAGCAAAGTTTTATAAAAATCCGTCAATGGGTTCAAAAGTTATTGAATATGGGAGAGTATACAGACGTCTTGATACTACAAGCCTCTATTTTCATACAGATAAAGTTGGCTACATCTGGTATGAAATTACACAGAGTCGGACCCGTGCACAGGGACCATTCTTGTGACTGAAGTTATTGGTCACTATACAGAAACTAACTCTCAGAATTTGTAAATAATTTACGTAAAAATGACTTCTTGAAATTCTAGATGCTTAGTAAGTGAATTACGCAGGTAAATAATTAGAATGAATATAATACAGTATTTATCTAATTATAAAACAATATTTTTCAACATCAAGGAACACGTATTACGGTAAACCCTCGCTAATCCGGGTTAATTCGGGGAGGGGAACAGGTTATCTGATTTAGTGAAGTAAAAGGTAACCCTAAAAGGCAAAAAATGGAAAATTTAATCATATAAGTGGTGTTACTGAAAATAAAAAGATATCATTGTAGAGGCTTTATTCAAAAAATTAAAAAGAGAATACATTTATTCATCGTCAGAGAACTCAGAAGTTGTATTTGTTTTTGAAAGTAATAAGGCACGTTTCAAGAAACTGTCAAGTTTCTTTTCTGAACAGACAAGTGACCCATCTGCCTGCCTTAAATGTCATGTGTCTTTTAAAGTATGTACATAACTGTAAACAGTATTTTTACATTTTTCGTATTTCGACCCGGATCACACGACATCCGGAGTAACTACGATGTATAACCGGATTAGCGAGCGTTTACTACATTTGACAAACGATTACGGTACGATATCAGCTACTTTACATTCTTTAACACCGTTCTCTCACGCAAGGATATTTTTCAGAAACGAATCTAATATTTACTGTTTTTTTTACTTTTTCTATCGTCCGGTATTCTAGGAAATAGAAAACACGACGTTTCGGAAACAGACCTATTTTCCGAAACGTCGTGTTTTTTATTTTCTAAAATACCAGACGATGGGAAAAAAGTCCAAAAAACCCAGTAATTCTGTGTTTTATACATCATCGGCAGAACCCTTTAGAATCTAATATTTTTTGAACAGCTCTTCTGATCATGTGTATGTTCAAACAGCTTTCGGCACCTCTGGTACATTTCAACATTCCTGTTCTTTTTCTCCGCAAAACACTCTTAAGTATAAAATAAACTTGGACACTGTTTACTGCACCCTGTATGGGACCACGAAAGCTTTCTTTCTGCCCTTGATCTCCGTCACTGTCTTTGTCTTGCTGTGTGTTTCTTTCACTCAGATTTTTTTAATAGGCTGGCTATCCCGCCCACTTCTTCGACGGTACTGAATATCGGAGTATCATTGTCCATCTCAATAGCTTCGCCTGAAGTGAGCCTGCAGCTTTGTGATTATGCATCAATCTTCAGCCGTGTTCACTTATTGATCTGACCACAACTGACCTCAAACAACTGACCATAAAACCTGCTTTGGCAAAGCATTTTTGTGACTGACTAGGCATTAACTTCATCCCATGCGTCGGATGGCCAAAGAAAATCACCCAGCAAATCTAGTGACTTCAAGAATTCTGTTATGGGTTCGAAATTAATGTAACTGGCTACAGAATAAGTTAATATGCCGGTCACGGTATCCGAGCGGTCTAAGGCATATACTGAAGCCGGGATAGTGGGTTCGAATCCCACAAGGCATGGACGTAGAGGCCTTGCGACGAGCTGATCACTCGTCCAAGAAGTCCTACCGTCTGTAAAATGATAAAAAAAAAACCTCGACGCCGTAAGGTATAAGGGAAATGGATTAAGTGAGTAAGTAACAAGTTAACAGAAACTTCCTGTATAGTGCCTAATTTTCCTTTTTTACAATGCCCTGATCAAGCTGCAGCAGAACCGAAGCGGCGTTGGGCGTAAGAAATTTTACTGTCACCTTGACGAAATTCTCAACTTTTTTGCGAGCCGGACAGGTATCCACCATCAGCAAATATTTTCCGTTTTGTTAACGAAATTCATCCATTCAACGAACAACTCAAAGGTCATCCACGAGGATTTACTCACTGTCCAGACAACTTGCAGACTATTTAAAGTGAAACTTTCCAAACGCCTTTGTTGATTTGCTCTAATAAGCACAAACGACGGTAGTTTCTCACCAGTAACACTTGCTCTTAATAAAACTATTAACCTCTCCTTAGAGTTTCTGCCACTTCTGTAATTGTCTCATTTCACTGCTATATGTCTAGCAAAAGGAGTCCATACATTCATCAGCATTAAAAAATGGCCTTTTTTTCATAGCCTGACACTTGATGTTTGAAAATCTTGAAACTTGAAATTTTTGACAAATCGGAGACTTGTTTCCTTAATCACAAGACCAGAAATACAAGCATTTAACGGTCTCGCTTTGTGGAACTAATTCAGAAGAGCTATAATGATATTATCGTTGTTGATTTTTTGTTGCGTTTCTGTACACCTTATCGATTTCGTGTTCGATTCGCATGAAGTACTCTACTTGCCGCTCCTTTATATTGTTCTCACAAGACCTGCTAATTCTGAGAGATTCTGCAACTCTGCTTTCATCGCGAGAGTCTAAAAATGACAACATCTGTATTTTACAAGTATTATGTTTTTGGACATTATCCATCGTCTTGTCTATTAAAAAAATGTCCTGTTTCTTATTTAAAACACAGCGTTTCGGAGACTGGATTCTGTCCCTGTCTTCAGGTAAAACCTACTAGTTGGGTCCAATAAATAGAGCTAGCCCCTATCTCCGGAGATACACTTACACAACCTAATACATCAGGTAAGTGCGTCAAAGGGGGTCACATTACACAACAGATGGATGGTCAGTATATGTAACATGCCGTGACGGATTTGCTGAAAGCATTAAACTATGGAACCGGAAAACTCCGCTGCTAGGCAACGACTCGATAAACACGTTCAGACGAACACATAATAGGAGTGGTGTTCTTTTTGGGTCCGTTAATAGGCAGCAGCGAGCGCGCCAAAGGACTGGNTCACATAAACGGAGACATCACCTTGATGCACTTTTTCTTGTTCACGTCTTTCGTGGTCTTGAATCCTGCGCTTCTCTTTTGGAAAATGTTAGCCTTCGTGTTCCTCCCAGCAATCTTAGGGACTTCTCATTGTTTGGTGTTTGTCCCTCTAATAACCCCTCTTGCAAATGGTCACTTGACTCATTCCATGACGATTCTTGAGAACTGAAACAATGCGTCATGAAATCGGTTCATTCTTTTTTAATAACCATGTATTTGCAACTGGAACAGTTTCTGTAAGTGACACTGAACCTAAAATTGTTAATAATATTTGTTAATGATACTCTTAATATTACTTGTGTGTATGTGGTCTTATTTTATTGTTCTCTCCTGTTAACGTTAACTTTAATTTTTCTTGGCATTATTATTAATCTATTGTCATTATGCAGACTCTCAAATTTTGCATTTATTTTTTAATTATGTTTATGTAATTCTGTGTACACATGCTAACTTTTTAATTTGCCTCTGTGCTGTTAAGTTGTACGTAAATAAACACGAATTGAATTGAATTGAATTAGGATGTTGAGCTGCCACACGAATAAATAAAAATTAATTGGATTGTTATTATTAACTTCCATGTGTGTATGTATGTGTATTGTCCTTTCTCACCACGTAAGGGAATAACCATTCGAAATGTACTTCTTTTATTTTCTCACCTGTTAATGCTAACTTTAATTTTTCTTCGAATTATTATTAATTTAATGTCGTTTATATAGACTGTCTTATTTGTATTTTGTCTTTCAGTTATATCTGTATTTCTATGTACTCGTGCCAACTTTGTTATTGGCCTCTGTGCTGTTAAGTTTGCACTTAAATAAACACGAATTGAATTGAATTATGATTATTATTATTGCTATTATTTTGTTTGTTTGTTTCCCTATATGCAGTAATGCGTTTTCCTTCAAAGTTTATCTTTAATTACTCTTTGAGCTTTATGTTGTGTTTGTCCAGTATGTAACAACTTTTATCTACACTGTGCTGTGTCTGTAATTGGCCTGGCGGCTGTTGGTTCAGCACATAAATAATAAAGAATTTAATTTTATTATTATTATTATTATTAGTAGTAGTAGTAGTAGTAGTAGTAGTAGTAGTAGTAGTAGTAGTAGTCGGAGTACAGCGGAGTACGGCTAGTGAAGACGGAGAATCCTAGTGTGTGTGCAACGGCGAGCTTGACAGTGTGTAGAACAGAGATAGCGCTATTATTACCCGCAGTTCCGATCTGTGTGAATGTATAAGTGTTAATAAACCCAATCATCCAATCCAGAACCCGTTCTTATTAGTCACGGAATCCCGGACACGTAATACTCATATGGATGTCTATCACTGTCTTCGAGTTCACGGGAATTTTGGTCATTTTAGACTGACGGTTATATATACACGTGATCATATTATCAGGTTCTACTGTATATGCCATGAAACCGATCGCCAATTCTTAAATTGTTTGTACGCAAATCCGAGAATGAAGTGCTTGTAAGTAATATTCGTGCAACATCCACGCACACCTGATCCTTTAAAGCATGGCGGCTATTTCATGTACACTTCCATATAGAGTATTTACGTGTTCCGACTGAGTCTCAGAATAAACAGCGATTATTTGCGTCAAGAGCATTATCTGATTCATTTTGTAATTGAGATGCCCTGTGTCTTCTGCGAGAAAGAAACCGAATTATTAGATAAACGTGTTACTTAGATGCACTTCAGACACCAAAAAGTTAATGCTCTTATATGCTCGTAATGTATTCTTATATTTCTCATGTCCATACAAAAGAACTTCGTTACTAGTTCACCCAATTTATGCTGCCAACATTTGCATCCAAACACGCAAAAGAAATCCTCATACACATTTCTCATTTTTTAAATACGTGGCCACGGGACCCACGGGTCACTCAAAATTCCGCTGCATATTTTCATTCTACACGGAAACCACGATGAATATATAACAGTCAATTCTGTGCGTCCCGCAAGCAAACAGTCAAGAATTCAAGCGTATACTGAAAACATCGAGTGAGCTGGAGTACCCGTAACATTCTCGATTCGTATTCTGTAGGTGCTCGGTTCGAATCTCGACAATCCTGACTTTTTCGCCGTCTTCCCCAGACCCACAAGGCAAATTTCGGAATAGTAACAAATATAAATCACTCCGTCCAATGTGACCTGTAAGTTTATTACTACATGAAAAACTTAACACCTTTACATGTTTCGGTCTCTGCGGACCATCTTCAGAGGGCAAACATCACTACAAATAGGAAACCACCTTCACATAAGTTGTTTAGACGTAAGTACGTACACTTATATGTAGTAGTAATAAACTTACAGGTCACATTGGACGGAGTGATTTATATTTGTAATTGTTAGTGTGACGGACCAGAATGAAACAAATAAAATTTATTCGGAATAGTAGTTTGATCAGGCAATGATCCCTTCTTTCCAAATCACTATTCATAAATTCGACGCTATCTACTGAAAGCGTCGTCAAATAACCAATGAATAAAAATTAATATAAAATTACGAGAACAGTAACAAAACAGTAAGCGGTGTAGTCTGGAAAGCGGTCATTATCCGATCATCGCGTGAGGGTGAATGAGCATATATTCACATACAGACACTTGAATAATTTAACGACGTTATACCAGCTGAATATACTATACAGGATTACAGAATGACTGTGAATTATGAAATGACCGTGGTCTATTTCAAGATACTCAATATTCAGTTGTAGAGGCAGGGAAATAAGGAAAACATCTCCAATATGGTCAGCAGGTTTTGGTACCGAGATTTAGACGTACCGAATACGAAGCTAACCATCACATCGCAATGACTGAGTTCGTATGTCGAACCAATTATCGTTTACGTGTACTCCTATGGAACATCAAACGAAAATATAAAGTATAAATAATAAACCGGGTATTTCCGCCCAGTATTAGCAATTAAAACTTAAAAGCACTGAAACAAAAACCCAATACTGGAAACCCTTGTTAGCCATCTCAATTCTAATCACTCCGTGCATTTATTTGCGTACGATTCATATACAGGGTGATTATAGATTACTGTCGGTGTTTGTGGCCTAGAAACGTCCTGTATAATATGAAATCATAAAACAATATTAAAAAATGGGGACAGACACCTCCAAAAACACACGTGACTGTAAACTGTGTCTACTCTTGATAATGCACCATACTATGAAAGCCTATGAGGGAGAAGACCTTGAGCTCCACGCTCCAGCTGATTTATTACCAGGGGTAAAGCGTCGGCTACCCAATGGACAAGAGGTTGGGCATGACTCAGAGCATTTCTCGGTGTCGTAAGGATATATAAAAATCATTGCCAATGCCGGGAATCGAATCCTTTTTATCCAGTACGTAGTCAATGACTATAATGTCTTAACTGTCCCACTCTGAACTTACATATTATATATATATATATACACATACACACACACACAGACACTGTCACGTGTTTCAGCGACTAAGACGAGGGTTTCGATTGGCGAATCGGTTTATTGGATCGTCACTAGTCGAAACTACAATCAGGTGTTGCACTCTTGAGATTACTGTAACTACAGCATATTGACGTCATACGCTAAGTCTTCTAATTCTTCTTCTGGCCACATTGCATTTCCCTTGGAACATGTGAACTCAAGTGAAGTCAATTCCATTTCCCGCATTCTCTCATATCCCCTCGGCACGGATCATGTACAGAAGACACACTTCTATCGTTGCGTAGCACAGACCACACAGAAAATAAGTCACGTTATAACTATTTTATATTGCTAGTGGTGTGGGACTAAGTCCCTTGTACTGCGGCCACTTCTGGCCTATTGTACCAGCCCCAGATGATAGGTGAGGGTGACTGTGAAGCAATTTGTGGAATGAAGATTGGCAGTGGAATCCGAAGTAGTCGGAGAAAACCTGCCCCAGCGCCACTTTGTCCACCACAAATCCCACCTGACCAGATCCGGGATCAAACCCGGGCCGCCGCGGTGGGAAGCCAACGACTAACCGATTCAGCTATGGCGCGGCCCACGTTATAACTATCTCACCACTCCATTGGCTCGCTGACTGCTGCCTAGCAACGAGCTATAAACATTCGTCCTACTGTTTCGTGACCTTAAGCGAAGTGTTTATCGCGCCGTTGCCTAGCTATACAAACACAAACTCCGTGGCTTTAGTGGGAAAGCGAATAATACTGACCGAGCGACCGCCGCTTGTCGGCGAAGTTAGTGCCAACTTTGGGCCTAGCTATACACGTTACAATATATATAACTGGGGAATTACTCATAAATATACAAAACAGTAGCGTTGCAAGAGAAACATACCATCACAGTGTAATACATTTAGAAGGATTAATAGCACCGCCGTAATGAAAAATTAAGTCCTTACACACTGTCCATATCTGGTATGAATCCATATTCCCTATTGCCACGCAAAGGCCTACATGTACAGTTCATGCCCATATTCGTCAACAGAAGACTACCATAAGCTGAAATTATTATTCAGTGGTAGTGCATATGATCCAATGTACAAATCTTTACGTATATTGAGTGTGTTATCAGGAACATTTTCGTATGCCATGGCTTTCTAGTAAAGGCAGAACTGTACATAGGATAACAATCATGCGAAGCTCGATCATAAAGCCTTATGCAAGGAACTACGTGAAAGATTGCACAACTGCTATAAAATAAGTTGCGGGGGGGGGGAATTGTAAAGCGGAGTTGATTCGTGTAAACAGCAGCTGCAGTTCACTGTATGCATTCTGAATGTGGCTTCGAATTACATAAGTCGATTGATTTGCCAGGCTAACAAAATCGTGAATGTAATAACACTATGGAAAATTTTCTTTTGGAATATACTAGTATATTTTAAAGGGTTCTGAAAATGGTCTATAACACTCAGAATTACTGGAGTTTCGGACTTTGGCCATCGTCCGGTATTCTAGAAGCTAGAAAACACGAAGTTTCGGAAACTCACAGAGAAGATCTGTATGACGTTTCAGATTCTTCATGGGTTTCTATAACATGTTGGCTAGGTTTGTAGCATAATATTCTACCCCTCTTTCTGTCTTAGTTCCACGGATGTGTGTGCTTTATCACAATTTTTATTGCACATTATCCTGTTATATCCCTTATCAGGTAATTAAATAGCTGTAGTGAATCTGACGAGTTGCTG